AAAATCACCCAACACAATCATTGAATCAGAGGGTTTAGTCAGTAAATTAACTGATTTCAGTAAAGAGATGAGTCGTGAATACACAAGTGTGTCAGATCGGGGAGGGATATAGCACAGAGCTAAGTAAATAGACCCTTTTCCAGCCTGTACACGAATGTATTTGAACTCTACTGAATCAATGTGCGGAAGACTAACTTATTCAGATGGTATTGAAGAGTCTACAGCGAAGAGTACGCCACCGCCAATTCTGTCCTCCCTATCTTGTCTATAGATATGATAATTATTTGGAAGAATCTCTGAATTGAAAATGTGAGGTTTCAGCCAAGTTTCAGTAAAAGAAAGAATATTATAATTACATTGAAGGCCTTTAAAGAATAAGTTCGTTAATTTAGTATTTAAGCCTCTTACATTTTGGTAATAAATACTTAAAGCAGATTTAATAAATAGTTTTTTGATTCAGTGTTATGACGGGATATATTAGCTAAGTAAGCCTATATTCGAATTCACGAACCAAAGCTCCGGGGGCCAAAAAGAACTACTAAGCAGCGCATTAAAATTATCTAAATGTACGCCAATTTTTAATGAAGCAATACTCCTTTCGTATTTAAAATTAAATTTTCTGATGCTTAAGTCCACAGTTGTAATTTTTGATGAGATATAAAGCTTTATATCGTCTTCGGTAGGGTCTCTCGAAAATCTAGAGACAAAGATTGACTTCTTTGGCGGAACCACAACTAGTTTCCTCGTATCAGACTGGACTACCGGTGGAGGGGGTTGAGTTTCTGCGTTAGTAGTTGAGGATAGGGAAGGCGGTGGAGGCTTTGAAGATGATACCACCACTTCAATGGGGAAAGGGAAGATTTCGTTACACGGTCTTTTGAGGCTGAGGATTCTGATGCTGGAGGACACGGAGAGGATAAATTAATTAAGTCCGTCGGAAGATTATTCTGACGTGCAACGGCAGCAATTTCCTTAGATGGACTATGAAGACGCTTACGTTTAGACACACGGATATCCTTAACAGATTGCAAGGTATCTAAGCATTTGAATGATTTAAACATATTTTCATAATGCTTAAATTTTTCTGTCAGTACCGACAATTCTCTTCCTATTTCTGTAAAACCATTTCTGGTTTGCCTAAATAGCTTGAAAAGATCAACTTCGGTTGACCTGCACTTTACGCAAGACCAGCGAAGGCCCTTGCCATCATTAATAGCGTCCAGAATTCTTCCCGTCAAACCAGCACATTTCAGATGGTAAATACCATCACACAGCCAGCACGATAAGTAGCGTTCAGAATCGCTTTTAATTTGGCAAGTATCAAGATCACACTTCATATTGAAAGATTTATGTAATACACTCGTTAATAAAAGACAAACAAAATAAATTATAACAATTAAGGAGCTGATGTAAATAGCTTTAAATAAATGTAGCGAACAGTTTGAGTATCACTGTAATTATGACACTTAATAAACGCAACGCAAACAGCTGTGACAAGAATTACTAGAAGAAGTAAACAAAAAGAGTAGAACAAATGTGCAAAAACAAAATGAAAGTTAACTACAAAGGATACAACAACAATGATAGCACCAAAAGACTCGGCAAAATTAGAATGTATGCTAGTGAAATTTAATTAAATTTACTTTAATATAAAACCAATAACTTTCACTGTGCTCCAATTATTTCACACTCTGATGCTCATAAGCACTTTTTATCGCTACTTTAACACAGAATTAGCACAATGAACTTAGTAAGTAGAAAGCCAAAATCAGAGCACAATAAAGCACAACCTCACAGCTTGCCGTTTGCTTGGTATGTGGATTGTGGGAACTATCTCGTAATTCTCGGGTCTATTTCAAGATTCTTAAGACTTCGACGGAGTTTTCGGGACGACTTCGGAATTGTCGGAAATAGTTCAGTATTTTTGGAGTTCTAGGGACTATTCAGGGATTTAAGGAACTATTTCAAGACTATTTCGATGTTTCTAGAATTTGTAGGGTTCTCAGGACTATTTCGAGACTGGAGGCTGCTTCAACATTTTAAGATTTCAGGGACAATTTTCGGTTTTTTCAAAACTAGATATGTATGTATGTACAGTGTCTAAAATAATAACAGTCGAACCTAGTGTTTTGAATTACGATGCGGTTAGCTTTATTTAGATTAATTAATGATTCATTCATAAAAATGTAAACCATTTATGACATATTTAAAGCATGAATTTGAATCCTCGTACCCTTAATTTGCAGGAATTGTTTTAAGAAAAAATTCGAAAGCGGCACGGTGGGGTTCGTTTGATATTTCCTCCCATATTTTTGTTAAATCCTTTTTGAAATTATCCATGGTCATGTTATTTATGTTACCTAGTTTGCTTAGCACACAGCCCCAAACTCTAATCCGATAAGTTTAAGTATAAAGAAGATTTGGTCCATTTTTCCGTTGAGATAGACCCTGGGAAAAAGTTTCTTTTCACCAACTTTTCGAATTTCCCGCTTTACTTGTCGAGAAAGAATCTTGTTGAAAATAAAATGTTCCATTTCCAGACATTTGCACTGCATTAGTATCGGATGGAAGTTAGCGATAATGTAGATCTGCGGCTTTCGAGAGTTTTGAGATTTATTAACATAAGACGGGATGTGTACGATGGAATAGGAGCTTCAAAGATGAGCTACCGAAGAGAGAATTTCAGAAATACCTTTTGGATACGCTCTATTCTTGCTATCGAGAGTCGATCCAAGAGTCTATGGAGATCATTTTGAAAAAGATTACTCGGAATTAAGCCAAGACTTAAGAGATTATCTATTAAACAAGATTCAACCGCTGTAGTCACATTCGTTGGAATAAGACCAAGTTTAGAAAAATTATTAGACCAGTTGATGTTGGGTGTACTATAGTCACCTAAAGTCAACTAAAGTCAAAGATGATCATTCACTAACTGCTTATTAACGAAAGAATCAACATTATCCGTATGAGCTTTATAAATGTCAAAATGACTGTAGGGCGGGATGTACAATGCCAGTACTTACAAAGATGTAAGTCCAAGGGTTATACAAACACAGAGTCTGTCCAGCATTGGGCCCTCAGCGAAATGTGGTAGGCATCAAATGAAAGTCTAAAATATGGTGTTGTTCCTGATCACTGGAAAACATCTATTGTTGTGCCACTTGAGAAAGTCAAGAACACAATCAGAGCCGACGAGATGAGACCAATTAATACGTTGCCAAGTGATGAAAAAATTCTTGAAACGGTAGTTAAAAAGCAACTAATAGAATATTTAGGAACTAATAAAATATTAATGCCACAACACTCTGGGCTCGAATCGTGACAGTCGTGAACGAGCAACTCGTCACGTAAAAATGACAAAATCGGATTGTGACAGACGTGAACGATTTTCTCATATCGTAATTCGGTATTATGACAGACGTGAACGAGCGAGTGAACGTACTCGTTCGTTCGAACTGTCATTCGATTAATATTTGACGAACGTACGCGCGCAAACTTTGATAAAATTTTTTGAAAAATGTAGGTAATTATAAAATTTATGCAAACATATACAAGTTCATAGCTATTTTTCTTATTTTAGACCAACTACAATAAATTAAACTCTACGCAGAAGGAAGCCATGGCGGAGTTCATGGCCGAACACCCTGACTTGGCAAAGAATATACTCCCAAACTGCTCGCAGGGAAAAGCAACGGCCAACCGTTTGTGGGAAAACCTCACCAAACAATTACATGTGGTGGACCTTTTCAGGAGTCATGGGCTGCACCTCTATATTCACAATTTATGGCAAGAATCTTGCAAGTGTGGTCACAAATCTGGCAAACGGAATATTAGCAATAAAATGTTAAAATGAAAGAAGAGAAACTTACTAGCATAACGTTAAGACTATGGTAACCTTTCCTGTTGAAGTACATGTGCTCGTCTCTAATTGGCTTTTGTAATCCAATGTGTGTTCCGTCTACGCATCCAACCACTAAAAGGAAAAACATTGGATTCACTACGCATTTCATCAGAACTCCTCTTGCTACCCCAGGTATTTTATAATTTTCCGCAAACCGCTCCTTACATTTTGAAGATTCGTTGGGCTGGAACTTTATAAATTCCGGACACAATTTGCTTTCTATTTCTTTTAAGACGTTGGACGTCAATTTTGATACCGTGCTCTGGCACATACCTATCAGGTGATCGCTACCAACTGTTTGCTGATAGCTACCACTTGCAAGGAGCGAGAAGCTTGCAGCCAATTGCAAAGCAGCAGGAACGGCTTTTGTGTCATCGCAGTTTATGTTTGTTTTCGATAAAACATACTGGAATATCTCCTTGCTTAACCGAAATATTTTTGGTGAATCTGCAAGTATAGGAGTAGAGAAGGTAATTTATTTCCTATGTATAATTACTTACGCGTTGTCGGATAATGCGAATGGATTGCTTCTGCCCCGAAGTTGCTTACGCACAACTCTTTCGTCATTTTCGCTTTCGCTAGAGCTTAAATAAAATAAAAGGCTCGGATCCATTTTAGTTTTGCCGCTTTTCTTTATTTACTTTTCACTTATTTTGACACTTCAATGTCTATTGTGACTTAAAAAAGGAAGAAGAAGAGAAAAATAATCGATAACCAAATAAACAATAACGATTCGTTCGCCTTCGATTGTTATCATCCGATATTGTTCATTCGATTAAACGATCACGTAATTTGTCTTCGTACGATTGCCGACTCGTTCACGTCTGTCACGATTCGACCCCTGGTTTTAGGAAAAGGCACTCGTGTGAAACTGCACTCAACTTAGTATTAGCTCGCTGGAAAGAAGAATTGAGCAGAAATAAATACATAGTTGCTGTCTTCTTAGCCTTAAAGCGCACATTTGAGACCATAGATCAAGAGTTACTTTTAAATAAATTGAGTAATATAGGGATACGGGGTGTTGAGCTAAAATGGTTTCAAAGTCTTATTACGAATCGTTACCAGAGAACACAGATTGGATCATCGGTATCTGACAAAAGAGGTATAGTGGTTGGTCTACCTCAAGGCTCAGTGCTAGCACCTATATTATTATTATTATTATTAGTGCTAGCACCTATACTATTTAATCATGGTTGTTGTTGTCAATTCTATACACCCATTTGCTTATTTGCTTTTTTTAACACGCCACAATAACATTGACAAATACATAGTTTCGGAAGAGCCTGCCTGAAACTATACAAAAAAGCAAATAAGCAAATGGATGTATAGAATTGACAACAACAACCACGCTGTTGAGTTTAAATAGCGGCAAATCAGCTGCACTTGATAGTAGTTGGTTGAATAAGGAAATGAATTAGCAACAAGAGTTTACGGGATGTACATAGCTCAGTGGTTAACGCTTCTGACTTTGAACATCGAATTCGCAGGTTCGATCCCTGCTGAAGTCTAGAAAAAAGAAGTCTGATGAGGAGATGTGGTGATCTCCGAAATAGTGCTATAACTTCTACCGCTTAGACTTTGTTGCTTTTTCAATTTTTCCTAATAAACAATCGTGGTACAAAGCTCAATAAAAATATTAAAAATAAAATGTTAACAAGCCACAATAACATTGACAAATACATAGTTTAGGAAGAGCCTGCCTGAAACTATACAAAAAAGCAAATAAGCAAATGGATGTATAGAATTGACAACAACAACCACGCTGTCGAGTTTAAATAGCGGCAAATCAGCTGCACTTGATAGTAGTTGGTTGAATAGGAAAATGAATTAGCAACAAGAGTTTACGGGATGTACATAACTCAGTGGTTAACGCTTCTGACTTTGAACATCGAATGCGCAAGTTCGATCCCTGCTGAAGTCTAGAAAAA